ATCACGAGCCAAACCAATATCAAATCCATATCATCATTCCAATCAAAACTGCAATCAATCAAAACTGTCGCACGAAACCATCAATAACTAGGAAAGAATGTCGATCATACAACCATTTCTTGAAATAGAAACCTCAACACAGATCAAGCGTTCCAGTTTGGGTTAAATATAGAGAATAAATAGTTCTGAGGTACATAAGCATGGAGACCATTTAAGCATGGAGACCACAGACTCCTCATCGTCATCACAAGCATGCCCAAACCAACCATAGACGAGGAAAAATTTCTCTGCAGGAAAAGTTACAGCAAATGAGAAAATGAATGAGACAGCAAGGCAAAAAAATGCTTTGCAAATTCAACAAAACTAAGTCACCGTGGAGGTTTCCTAAAACATACAGAGCTATAAACACCAGGTATTTGAAAGGAAATACGTAATGAAGATGCTCTTTTTAAAATAAGAAAGGATGAAATGCCTTAAAATAGTAGAGTAAAATAAATCACTAGAAGTAAAGAATGGTGTGCAATTTGAAACACCACTCAGTAACATAACTACTGCTGTGCCCAGCAATTATGACGTCTTGCATCATAAGCAACAAGATACAGGCATACAAATGTTAAACGTACGTGGATCATGAATTTTTTGTCCATGTATTTCTTAAACTTATAAACATGTGGTTGGAATCATGTTTCAATGGCAATTCTCAAGGATTAATATATTTTTCTAGATATCAAGCATCATGTAACATCTCGATCATATATTAGGTACATAGTCATATCAACATCATACACCATGCATAACCCGTATTGAATAGTCTAAGGATATGCTTCAGGAGCACAAATATCAAGCAAACATGGGTTCATGCGAAGCTCACGTGTCAAGCTACATATACTCATACATGCAATCACTTGGTTAAATTTTTTTTTGAAAGATATAAAGTGAAAATAGGAGGATTAAATACAAAGACATTCTGGTCTAGTTCATCTTCCTCGTCATATTTGTAACCTAATATATAAGCAAAGGACAAATTTTCAAAACAGACCCGTTTCAAATCTTATTCCCCAAAACCGACCTGTTTCAAACTTAATTTCAAAAACCGACCAAGTTGGCTCAAACTGGGTCGGTTTTTGAAAAAAAAAAGTTCTCAAACTTCACGGAAGTTGAACTCCCGTGAAGTAGTTGAACTCCCGTGAAATTTTTACATAACAAAACTTCACGGGACTTCAACTCCCGTGAAATTTGGGAACTTTTTTTCAAAAACCGACCCAGTTTCAGCCCAACTGGGTCGGTTTTTGAAATTAAGTTTGAAACAGGTCTTTTTTGAGAATATTTTGGCAAACAGGTCTGTTTTGAAATTTTGTCCTATAAGCAAAATATATCATGTAGTTACTCATTACTAAACCACTCTAATCCATCAAGGTTCTAAGGTATAAAATTATGATGATATTTAAATAAGGTATTGAGCAACACCCTTAAATATTAATCATGTAAACAAGAAAAGTAATAAAAAATCATACAGCATGAAAGCTATCCCTGAATACTAGAAGAAAGAATAAATGCCCAATACATCATTTTAATCAACAGAATAAAACTGCAATGAAATTTGCGATTGTAATAAAAACAAATGTGAGGGTATATTAGATGTCCTATAGATGAAGAAATTAGTAACTGTGCTCCTACCGCTGGATAAGGAAGGTGCATTCCTAAGGAATGTAAAGCAAAGCGATCCCTGAATAAAAATTATAAATTCAACAAATATTTACAAATGCCATGTACTAAAATCAAGATACTCACAGATTTTGTTGAACGCTACGATATCACAGCTCTGGATGTACGCATTTGCTGGCTCAACAGTGAGATGCTCCTCGATCAGGGTGTCCACGGACACAAGGTCATCCACAATGGTCATCATAATCTGTAACTTTTTGATGCCATAACCAACAGGAACAAGCTTGGCTGCATGTCCACCAAAGAACAATAATTAAACTGAAAGATTGCTCATCAGTGAGCAGAAGTAAAACATATCCAGCTAAAACACAAAATAGCATTCACATACAAGCTCCCCAAAGCAAACCCTCCATCTGAATGCTCCTAACTGTTTCTTCAAGCTTTTTCATGTCAGTTTCATCATCCCATGGCTTAATATCCAATAGAACTGAAGATTTTCCAGCTGCAGAGCCGACAACATACAAAATAAGAACATAACAAAACAACTTATATTGTTAAAACTTGAC